CCCTTCTCCAGCCCCCTGCAGCTGCCCCCTCTACTCCTTCTCCAGCCCCCTTTGGCATCCAATTTTGCAATGCCAACCTCCCCGAGGCAGTGATGCAGCCAACCTCACCCTCTTTGCTTCAACCCACTTCCATCGAGCCAAACAAGGTGAGGTACTCTGCACACGCTCAGAGACTCCCAACTTCAGTTAAGCGTTCTGCCCATCTTTATGCTCCGCCCGGGAAGAGGAAGGCATGCGGAAGCAGCCCAGACCAGTGGAGGCGGAGGGAACGATCACTTGCAAACTAAGCAAACAAGAAAGCAAGCGCAGGGCTCAGTTGGAAGAACCAGGCTGCAGAGGGAGGCTAGGTTCTAGGTCCGTGATGGCCACGTAGAGCCGAACCAACCAAGCACGTGCCTTGGAGAGCTGCAGCTGCACCCACCCACATCCTGCGCGCAAGCCTGGCTGGCTGGAGAGGTGGAGGCTGGGCGAGCGCTGCGTGGTCTCTTGTTTTCCGGGGAAGAGGGCCCTAACACCGGACCACCCACCCCTTCCACTGAGCGCCTTGGGAGGGTTTTGCTTTCTGGCCTTCTGGTGCGCCTCCGCCATTTCCACCGGAGAGGGCAGCCTGCAAGCTAAGGCGCCCTCTTTCCACCACCTCCCACCTCTCTTCCCCCAGGCTTGGCAAGGCTCACCGTGAACGGGTTCTGCATTCAAGGCACCAGCTACGGAGCGATGGAACAGTCAATGGGCTGCGTGGCCGGCAGTCAATGAGCCTGCGGGGCTGGCACCTTGAACACGCCCCTACCACATCTTAGCAGCCCCCTGCCAGCCCCCTTGCCCCTTATTGCCCCCCTAAGGCATCCCACCACCCCAGGGGGTGGTACCACCCACTTTGGGAACCACTGTTTTAGAGCAACGATATTTCATTACCCAGACTAAGTAACATCAGCAGCACACTAATGATGTTATCTAGTTTTGATAATGGAATGTTTGCAAGAAAACCACCAAGCTCAGAAGGCACCAAAGACCCCTCATTTCAACCCAGAGCTACAAATATGCTCCTTTATTGATACCATAGTCATTTGGTTGAGGTGGGCAACCATATAAATGCAATCAATCAAGCACTCAAATATCTGTACTAAGCAAAGCTTTGATTATTGTTGATGTTGTGATGTTTTTCAGGTTCTGATATACCAGCTGATTGCCCTGAAGGATGGATATTTTATGTGGGTCAATGTTATAAGATGCGCAGACAAACTACTTCCTGGCAAGATGCTTCTGGTCTGTGTAGAAAGGAAGGTGGTGACCTGGCAAGCATCCATAATGTGGAAGAGTACAGTTTTATTATTTCTCTGCTTGGGTACAGTGAGTATCCGTATGGGGTTTTGTGAATCTTCAGCCTTTTTCAATAACATGGTTGTTTGGTTGAAAGTAACAGCAGTAGTTTAGTTTGACAATACTAGTTTCATACATCTTGTTAAATGATTAAACCATATTGCCATTAAGAATTTTTATTGCGAGTTCAGCCCTTGTGCAGGATTTCCTGAAAATTTCTGTATCTGTGTCTCCTCCAATCTTTGAGAACAGATACATTGACTCTACAGATGTTCATGAATGTGGAATGACATTATTTCTGTGTAGAGATTTTGGTTTGAAGGAGCATACATAGTCAAATTGGGTGGAAATCTAATTTGCAATTTCTTTCCCTGCAAAACAAGTCTTTCTGCTTATATCTTATTCTCAGGATGCTCGTCAGGGAAAGTTTAACTTTATTATTAGAGCTGGTGAAAAATTCTGGACCTGGTGTCACTGTTTTCGATTATATAACTTCCCATCATTTTGTAAAATTTGCAACCTGACTAGATTTTCCAGTTTCATGAAAAAATTTCCTTCCTTAGTTGACTTGTGTGGAATCAGGAAGACTATGCATTCACATGGAAACACACACACGCACACGGGGGGGGGAGGGGGGGGAGAGGGAGAGAGGGACAGACAGGGAGGGAGGGAGGGAGATAACAAAATAAGTTCAAGAGCATTATTTCCTTGAATTTCCGAGAATTTCCGAGAATTTCACCACTGTCCTCTTTTCTTTTGAAGGAAAAATTGAAAGCACCTTGTTTTTATTCAACTGAAAAAGAACTTGGAGAATTAAAAATACAGATTTTTTTTTCCTATGAGATACTAGTTTCAGAACTCTAGAAATTGGAAATTTGAATTTCCAATTGGCAGTTGAATAAACCCTTGCTTTTTGTTGCATTGTCATATCAAATTGTTGCATATTTAAACCAATCTATTGGTTTTATTAAACACGCGCACAATATCCAATCCATCCATCATGATTAGAAAGCTTTTTGAAATATATGTTAAATGGGGATTTGATGATCAACCAGTGAAGTAGCAGCAAAATAAATAATATCAAAAAAGCAGCAGATAAATATGGAAGTTCCACAGTTAATGCAAGCTACAAGATTAAGATTTTCTTACTACAGGATTAAGATTTATATGACACAGAACTTTTAATGTTGGTATGTTTCTTGGGATGATTAGACACTGGACATATTTGGCCTCTGTCCAGGAGATCAAATCTGTGGGACTTCTCCATTTATGAGCAGCGTAATGGTGGTGAATCATATTGGGTTGCAAAAAATGAGGTATTTTTGTACAATGTTGGTATTGTGTTTCAAATCTAGAAACTGTTTCAGTTAAAGTGAAATGTTGAGAATTTTACATAGGCCACAATATTCCCTACTTGAGAGAAATATTCTACTTCTTGAAGCATAATATCTCCATTATCAGCAATAGGATGTGTAGGGACAGGGGGCATGAAAGCAAATAGGAAAACCATGTGAAAATTTCAAGAACTCAAAAAGCAGTACCTCTGTCATGAGACAATAATCAAAATGACAGCAAGAGCAGGAAGCCAAACAGTATAATGTGCTCTGCTCTTTGGGCTTTTGTACAAGTCTGAGGAAATCATATATACATTACATTTTATTCATAGTATTTTAGCCCCATGGAAAGGAAACACCTGTTATATTCTGGCATACAGTCAGATTGTACTGGCTATTCTTCTATGCGGAACATTCTAAAGTTATCTCCTCTTGTTTAATGATTGATTAGCATATTTAAAAAAAATCTGCACAAGGTATACCATTAGAAAATTATCACTAAAAAGCAATCCCTTCATATTTCAGCACTATCCAATGGAGGAAGGTTTCATTGAAACCATCCCTTATGTACCACTTGTGAGACAAAAATTCCTCGATTCCCAGGAATGAGAACTGATAGGCAGGATGGGAGAGGCAGAGATGTCTTCACACAGCCTTACAACTTTTCCCTAATCTGACTATTTATCCCATTGTTCATAATGGGCAATGCTTAATGGGAATAGAGAAGATGATTTTGATGGAGTCATGCAGGCAATAGGATCTGAAGTTGTTGTTTGTTAAATCCAGAACAAGAAGATAACATTCATAAATGGCTCAGCCAGATACATCCCTGATTTACTGAAGGAAGAGGGAGTACAGCACAATTAGAATTCCAAGCTTCTATTATAGATGACTTCAATAAGAGTAGTTTTAACCTTTCTGTGGAGTTAATTTCCTGATCTGGTCTACCTAGTGGGATTGACAATGCTTAATCTCCTGTGGATGTTCTTGCGTATAACCCAAAGGTGGAAGGAAACAATGGGAAAACTGAATACTTGATACAATTTGTAGGTTATTTGATCATACTGACTGGGAGTTCTGAGAATTGTAACCCTGACACATCTGGAATATATCAGGTTGAAATGATTTAAATGACCTTCCATAACCAGCAGGAGGCCTCAATACAGGAGATAGGATCCTTGATTGATATGGATTGGGGAAAAAAGTACATTGTTGTTTTAATTTTATTTCTTTTTTTAACCTTAAAAATGTGCATAATATCCTTTCAACTCATTCTTCCAAAAATAGTTTGCAACATGTTAAAATCACATTAAACAAGCACACTAAAACATTCACTAAAATGCAAAGTAAATTATAAACAGTAAAAACATAAGTAGAAGATTGTTTATTTAGAAAAAAACATATTGCAACATATGTTGAAAATATTAATATACTTTTTGTTTACCTGCAATGAATTAGAACCAAGTGATGAATTATGGATTGGTCTGAATGATCTCAAGATTCAAATGTTCTTTGAATGGTCAGATGGGAGTCCTGTGACATATACCAAATGGCTCCATGGTCAGCCAACACATACTAATAACAGGGAAGAAGACTGTGTGGTCATGAAAGGAAAGGTAAATAAAGTTTTGACATCTTCACTATATTCTTAAATATTGTTAGAATCCTCTTAATCCTCTTGACCACTATTTGTAATGAACTGATTGAATGGAGAAAATATTTTAAGCTTATGAATCTATTCTGCATGGCGAATCCTCAATGTTAGTACCAGATTGGTGGGGATATTGAAGAAATGCTGACTAAGGATAATAGAAACACAAAAACAGAACAAAAACATTAAAAATAAAGAGTTTTAGGTTCTGCACCACTACATACTAGTTTCCACATTAACTTTAAATAAGTAATACATAAATAATTAATTAAATAATAAATAATTTAGACAATTACTTTCTACCTTTCTTTAGACTAATTAAGATTATAGCTCATGTTTTGCATATAAAGAGCCTCAAATTTGCTCTCTGACATCTCTAAAATAAGGCTGGAAAAGCTATCTTGTCATTAAGAGAATACTGAGATAATTGCTAATAGATTTGCCTTACTTTAAGGCAGTCTCTTGCAGAAGAGTCAACAAGCTTTGGTAGACCAGCACTGGGCAAAAGTGCATGAAGTTCAACTTTGGAATCTATAATGTGCACCAGTTCTGATATCATTCCACAAGTGTAGTTTTAAGAGCTATGTTTTATTTTATTTCTTTAATTTGTTACTATAATTTCAATTCACTTAGTAATAAAAATATTCTTTCTATAAAATTTATAAAATAAATTTTCTTTCTATAAGAAAAATAAATTCTATTGCATCTGATGCATCCAATATATATATGACTACTTCAGTTTCAACCGCAGCAATACAAGAGCACACAACATACACACACACACATACATACATATATAGATACATGGTTTTGGGATTTTATGATAAGAAAGATTAGGGGCTGTCAGCAAAACAACTCAACTGGTGAGCCATAAAGAGAGAAGTCAAGCCATCAGTCCTGAAGAGAAAGTCCACATATCTCATTGGCAAATGATATGGATAGAAGAATTCTGACATTTTCGTCTTCTGCCCAACACAGGATGGGTATTGGGCAGATGAACCTTGTGACATGGAATATGGTTACATTTGCAAAAGGAAACCTTTAAAACAAGCACCAGAAAAGGATATAATTGATGAAGGATGCTCAAAAGTAAGTAAAATATTGATGAAATCAAAGTGCTAAGCAGTTACTCTTCCTGGTTCTTTGTAATTTGTTCAATAAATATGAAAATGGAACAAAACTAAAAATTTTATCTGATTATTGATTCATCTTTATATGTTCAGGTGCTGATACAGATTGCTTGAAGGAATTTTAAAATTCTGTCTTTTATGTTTTGAATGAAACATAATAAAACATTAAAATGTGTCCTATAATATTGTTTTAAACAAATAATCTTAAAAGCAAACTAATAAAACTGCAAAGATGCATACTTGTAAAGCCAATTAATTTAAAATGGGGGAGCAACCAATAATTTATATAATATTAAAATTATTTTGAAACGTGAATGTCTTCAAAAATATTTCGACAAGAAATTTGTACTTAAAGATGTTAAAAAAAAAGCAGAAGCAGAGCAAATATTATCTCTTACATAATAATATGTTCTATGAGTTTAGTATCCCTTTTAATAACATATTCATAACAACATGGATATCCCAACAGAAAAGTAGAAAGTGGCTTTTCATCAATTAAGCTCACATCATATTTCATTTAAGGAAGTATAGCAGAATTATTTTGTATCTGTGTGAGTTTTCTCCCTCTAAACTCATTATTGCTTTTGCTTTAAAAGCATAAGTTCCCAACATATTTTCACTGTGATTCTCCACACTTAAAAAAAAGAATATGGAATGCATATATACCATGAAACTAGAAGGAGGAAGGTCAGAGCAAAGAGCATGAGATCAGATGAGTCAGTTATAATAACAGTGCTGAGTTATTAATCACCCTTACTCATGAAATATGATTTAGTCTATTATTCTGTTAGAGTTCACATACGTGGAAAACGGACATCAGATTTGAACTCTGAAGATGAGAAGAGAGAGAGAGAAAAAAGACAGAGATTAGATAAATGCAGATTTGCTGATCTTCTGATGCATTTCAGTTTTTTGTGGTATCTGTAATTAAAATCTGTGCCCTTGAAATATTTGCCTGCTATCCTTCAAGTTTAAGTAATGGTTAAAGTGATTCTTTACACAATGCTGTATAGGACAACCTGGCTATAGCAACAAGGCTACTTATTATATATGGTTGGGTTTCATTCTCTGTCTTCTCTTCTCCTCTTTTCAGGGCTGGAAAAGATACGATTTCTACTGCTACATGATTGGAAATACATTTGCATCATTTGCTCAAGCTGATCAAAAGTGTACAGAAAATGGGGCTACTTTAGCTTATGTTGAAAATAGGTAATAAACATTGATTAAAAATGGTTTTGTTTAAAGAGTGCTATGTATTTGTCCAATGTCTTCTGAAAAAATACATTTTTGCTGCAGACAAGTCTGGTACCATACAGTTGTAGTCTGCTTCAACTTTCAATACACCCAGTCTTCATGACCAAATACAAGTTTAGATACTTGGAAATAATGAGTAAAGTTACAGATATTCAAGTTGAAAAATATTTAACTCTGTTGAAACTAGCTTTGGTGCAACATTTAACTAAATTTAAAGTCTGGTGGTGTACAGAATACCCTACACCAGTGATCCCCAACCTTTTTGATGCCGTGGCCCGGTACCGGCATCAGCTGGGCGCCGCCATCTTTTTTTGATGAAAAAGTGCTTCCGGTGACCTCACCGGAAGCACGTTTTCATCAAAAAAAAGATGGCGGCGCCAGCGCTTCCGGTGAGCTTTTCTGGGTAGA